GTGGCATAGATTGAGTGCTTGACTACTAACCAAAAAAAAGGTTGGTGGTAGACACCTACTCAGAGAAGTGCCCTGTTAGAAAGTCCTGGTGATCTGCTTCCAAAAGTCTTGAAAATCCTATGGGGTGAGGTTCTACTCTGGCACACCATGAATTTCCATAGTTGAAGTTGACTGGATAGGAATGGTTTGGGCTTTTTTGTTGTTCGCTCATTATCATCCCGGTCTGATGTGAGCGCCCCTCAGTGGTGATACAAGTGACTTTTTTTCTCCTCAGCCAGTCAAAAGGACTCCCCTTCTCCTCCCTCTGCCTTCCCCCACCTCAAAGTGGTCAGTAAGTACAGGATGTTTTCAGGGTTGATGGTTGAGTGAGTGGCAGCAAAGAATCATCCCAATTCACTTCTCCTACCTCAAGGGAGTCAGAGAAAAAGAGGGAGACCCCCAACGATATGGATTGGCCAAGTGGCAGCATCGTTGGACTCAAGTGTGGCAATAGTAGTGAGGTTGGCCCAGGATCAGGCAGTGTTTCGTTCTGCTGTGCATAACGTCGCTATGGGTCAGTACTGACTCGATGGCACCTAACAACAACAACAACAACCACTTCAAAAGGACTCTGAAGTTGGAGCCAGAGTGGCAGAGTCCAAGATAAAACCGTCTCTAGGGCATGAGGGTACTGGAGGCATGTCACACTGATATCTTATCCCTGGCCCCTGGGGAGCACAAATGTACTAACTGAAAGACTGTTGCTTTGGACCCACCCAGAGGCACCTCAGAAGACAGGGATCTGCTTCTGAAAGGTGACACACAGGTCACCATTAGTCAAAACCCACGACAGGTTTGAGCGCCACCCTGGGCTCCTCCAGATCTAAATGCTGCTGTGAACAGGCTGGGCAGGCTGATGAGGTTCTAGGCTACGAAGTCCCCGAGACCAAAACCACACTTTCTATCCTAGAGGGCAATAGTGGCACTCAAGACAGCCAAGGGGAATGAGAGCAGGAAGGGGCTTCAGCTAAAGGGGAGGTGGTAGTTCTGTGGCTTTATGGGGTCCCAGGCAGTGACCTCCTCAAGGCATGGGATTCCACCCCCAGGTTGAGAGCTTCAGTCGGACCACTCAGCACTGGCACCCAAAATGGCACTGGGCTGTTTCCATGGCCCCGAGGCTCCGGCTGCCTGCCACACTCCATCAGGAGGCCCGGCTGTCAGCCTGAAGTAAGCCATGCTTCTCCGCTGGCTGCAAATGCGCAGGGCAGCTGGCGCCTCGGCCCTGATGGATGGCTCAGTGCAACCTGGGAGGGGGTGTGAGGCGGCCCCCCGAGGGACACTTTGTTCCTGAATGTTAGCCTGACAGCTTATTACACAGAGATGGAGAACGGGAGGCTGGGCCAGAGAGGCTCCAGGCCTTCTTCCCTTGGCTCCATCCGCTGGGGGAAAGAAACCATTACTACTGACTGGCACATCTCTTACCTTCTCTGAAAAATGGGGGGAATAACACCCTTTTATTGCTGTGAGACAAAGTAGTTGCTGCCTTCTAAGGACATACTTGTTCCTCAGGAAACACAAATAGTCCCTTGGACTCCCCCACCCCGAATACCTGTGCTGAGGGGGCTCTTAGAGATGGGGCTAGACTACTGGGGAGGGGCAGGGAAAAACAGAGTGGTGGTAAACATTTTACACAAACCTTCATTCCCTCACCAAAGGCTGAGTTTTCTGTCTCCCTCCACCAAGCACACACAACCTGGGTGGCTTGGGATGTACTGTTCTCTCTCAGGGTGTCTGTGAACTGAGGGGATGGGAAGGGCAGCCTGGTGCACCCCGGATGGGGATGTGCTCTCCCAACCTGTGTGGGAGTCCAGGCTCCAGACGTGTCTGTACAATGCCAGTGTGTTTTCTGGCCCCGGGTGTACGGGAATCTTCAGCATGCACAGGACTGAGGTGACTTTCTGTGGCAGCTGATCAATGGGCCTGGCTTGAGCAGGGACCTGGGGATGAGCTGGTCCTGGTGCAGACTGGCATCTTGCTGGCAGGTGGGCACACCCACTGGGAACTGCCTCCTCCACTCCAAACCCCATTCCTTTTGTGCCACTTAGCAGCGATTTGCCACAGCTGGGCCTTCACTTCCTCCAGCCCTGTCTAATCTCCCAGGCTGTTGGCATGAATGATGGAAAGTTCTGGGCTAGTCTCACACTCTGCAGCTTGGATCAGCTATCCCCCATGGCTGTCTTGGCTGGACGATGCCAGGGCTGAAATCACAGCTGAACTTACTAGCAGTCAGGTATGCCTGGCCCAACATGGGGATGCTGGGAGCAGAGGATTTAGCTACTTCTCCCTCCACAAGGTTGTGCAAGTGATGCCTGGGGACCTATTTTATGTCTGGTCTTACTCATGGCAACTGCTTGTGTTTCAGAAGAGAGCTGCTCTCCATAGGATTTTCAATAGCTGCCATCTTTCAAAGTGGATTGCCAGGTTTTTCTTCCCAGGTGCCTTTGGATGAACTCAAACTTCCAACCTTGTGGCTAGGAGCCAAGTGTTTTATCCATTTGTGCCAGCCAGGAACTCTTTCCGACTTTAATTTCTGCTCTGTCACCCTCTGTCTCCCATCTCCATGAACCTGGCTGACCTCAGTGAAGAACTAAGGGAACCCACTAAGCGTAGCCACTGACAAGGCCACGGACCCCTGCCCACAGCCCCTGAGGTACCTCCGCAGGAAGAGCCTGCTCTCTTTTCAGCTCTACACTGTAATACTTGTCTCTGATCAAATGCTTCAGCCAGCTTGCGAGTCACACTCATTTTGGAGTTATCTGCACAAATCTCAGGAAGCTGGAGGGTAGAAAAACCATTTCTTTTGGCCTTGGTGCAGTCTGTGATCATTGGAAGCGCTGGTCTCCCTTCCTTTACAACTTTGCATAGGTAACTTCTCCAAGCAGAGGGGACAAAGCAGGCCAGGCTCCAAGCAGCTCCTGGAGAATCCCCAGAGTGGAAGAGGCCATTCTCCCTGACAGCCTGCTGTCACATGGGTAATGCCTGTTCCAAGGATGGACAGACCCTACTGGATCCAAGTCCAAGCTGGCCACAGGCAGTGAGGGACCTGAGATGGAGAGAGGACTCCCACGACAGACCCAGGTCATAAACCTGTGCTCATCAGGCTGGGAACTGGATCAAGTGGGAAGCAAAGTTTGGCCTTTGTTGGCTACAGTCTTAGCCTTTTCATGTAGTGAGAAATACAGGGTCCAGGGTCCCCCAGGACCCAGGAGGTAAGGAAGTCAGGTGTGGGGTGGCATTTCACTCGTAACAGACATTTTGGGGACTCTACGGTTGTCTTGGTGTGGTGCTGTGGGCTAATATGCTGGACTGCAAGGTCGGTTTGAACCGTAAGGTTGGCTGTTCAAGCTCAGCAGTCGCTCTTCGGAAACCCTGTACAGGGTCGCTGTGGGTTGGAACTGACTCAATGGCACTTAACAACAACAACATGGTTGTCTTGGAGTCTTGGTGTGGTGCTGTAGGATAAGCACTGGACTGCTAACCACAAGATTGGCAGTTTAAACCTCCTAGTTGCTCCTTGGAAACTCTAGAGGATCGCTATGAATCAGAACCAACTCCATGGCACGTAACAACAAATGGCTGTCTTATGACTTGATACCTGTTCTTTAGAAAACTTCCAGCAACTGCAGTCTCTAGAACGATTTTCCTTTTGTTCTCCCCTAGTATTTGAGAGCCTCTCCTGGGTGCTGTAAATGGTTAACCTGCTTGGCTGCTAACTGGAAGGGTAAAGGTCTGAATTTACCCAGAGGTGTCTTTGGAGAAAGGCCTGGTGATTAACTTTCAAAAACTCAACCATTGAGAAACCCTGTGGAGCACAGTCCAACTCTGACACAACTGGGGTCACCATGAGTCAGAACTGGCTTGAGAACAACTGGTTAGTATTTGGGAAAGTTCTTTTTGAAGACTGACCACCTAGTTCAGTGGTGCAAGAGAGAAGCAACGGAAGGGACTGGGTTTACTCCAGAGTGGTGGAAAAGGCACAGAGGACCCGAGGAGGTAAGAGAACCTGAGAAAGTGAGAGCGAACACAGAGCATCTCTCTCCTCAGAGGTTCACCTCCCCCGGTGTGCTGACTTTTCACCGTCTGTGATTTGATCTCACATTGGCAAGAGTTTGACACTCGTCAACATGAAAGAGCTGAAGAGGATTTTTAAAAAAATGGATGTACTTGAGCACCAGAGCAGGGGATCCCTAAGGGGGCATGTTAGTAATCTGTGAAACTGCTACACTGGAGGTTGGGGCTTGGGGCCATGCTCCTAGATGGGTTTCTCTAGAGAAAACCCCAATGGGGGTGGTCCAGGGCTCTGCTCCCAATGCAGCAGGTACTGAAGTAGCCAATTCCCCCACCTTGATAGATGCCCATCTGCTCTGACATTCCCTACCAGCCTCCAGCCTAGCTCTAGCTCTTGGGCTGCCTCACCTTGGGACTCCACCCACAGACCCTACAGGAAGGACCAAGGCTGTCAGAACACTGATGTCTCACTGAGGGGCTTGAGGGATGGCAGAACAAAGCCATGGGGTCTTTGGGAGAAGAGCTGGATCTAACTGCCCCACCCTGATACATTTGCCCAAGGGAGAGCAAAGCTCAGTGAGGGTTCCTCAGAGCAGGTGGGGCTGCCTCCCTCAAACAGGAAATCTGTACTGAAAGCAGGATCCCAGAGGGACAGAGGGCTCCATTCCAGGTACTGGAGATGGAGAGAGCAGACTGCCAGTCCACGGAGCCTGCTGTCTCCTGGCAGGATCTCTCTGCCCCTGCCCAGGGGCCTGACAACGAATGCTCAGTCATGGAGGGAGGGGTCGAGGAGCAGCAGGGTGGTGGTCTTAGGCACTTCGTGGGTTCCTTGGGGGCTGAGCAGAGTCGGTGGAGTCTAGGGTCCTAGTTGAGCTGACGCCACACCCCAGGCTTGGCAGAGGGGATCTGGGCCTCTGACCTTGGAGGAGCAGTAGGAGGGGATGGAGTGGCCATTAGTAAAAATGCAACTGGATCCTCCGGTGCAAGCAGCAGGTGAGAACCATCCCGCAGATCTGCCAGGTAGAGAGAGGAGAGGAGCAGAGAGCATCAGAACCCCTTGAATCTGCCCCAGAGCAGTGCTTCCTGGGGGTCCCCTGGGATGGAGCTTACCTAACAAGGGCCCAGGTGATGCAGGGCTACCCACTACCAAGAAGAGCCTCTCTCTGTTGAATGTGCAGGAGTCGCCTGAGGACCTTGTTAAATGGCAGGCTCCATTCTGGTAGGTCTGGGTGTGCACTGGAGACTGCTTTTCTAACTAGCTCCTAGTTGATGCTGGAGGTCTGTGGCCCTAGATCTTCCTGGATGACAGGATTGAATTCAGTCCCGAGGGGCAATGTTTTCAATCTCTCAGAGCCGAGCAGCTTTTTTGTCTAGGAGAGAGTCTGTCCATATCTTACTGTTCTCAGACCCCAGAGCAAAACATAGTCAATTCTCTGGCTGATCTGCAGAAGCCTTGGGGAAACTGAGGCTTTGGTAACCAGGGCAGAAATGAGGGTAAGTCTAGATATGTATTGCTACCAAATCATCAAAACATTTATTAAACAAAAATAGCAAAATGTGAAGCTCTTGTTTCTTGAGTTATACTCCATCTAGCTGTATATACTTTTGAAGGTGGTGTGACTGTTCGGCGGTAGAGGGAGTGGCCTTGGTTGGACGCCATCTCTGTAACTCTTCCTCCAAGAATTCTATGTTATTTGATTTACATCAAATAGTAGTTTTGGCATCCTCTAGGGACTCAAATTGTGTTTTGTTTAAATGTTCTTTGAGTTTGGGGGACAAAAAGAAGTCTGAAGGGGTAATATCAGGGCTGTAGGGTAGACGGGTAAGGTTTTCCAATGAAATTCTCACAGGACAGCCCTTGTGATTCTCAAAGAATGAGCAGGTATGTTGTGATGGGAAAACATTTCTCAGCACAACTCTCCTGGCCTGTTTGTCACCAATGCAGCTTTTGATTTTTAAAAGAACTTCTTCATAATAAGCCCCCATGATCGTCTTGTGTCCTTCGAGAAAAATCTATCAAAATTACCCTTTTGGGATTCTAACAAATAGTCACCATAACCTTCTGAGCTGATCTCTTTGCCACGAATTGAACAGGGCTAGCAGTCCCCTGAGAAGCCACTGTTTTGATTGGACCTTGTTTTTGAAGGTCCCTTAATGAGACAAGACAAGCATGTTACTGAGAGAACTTGTCTGCAGCCATCCACTGATGTGTTTAAACAGGCTTTGTTTGGAATAAACTCGGGCATGAATGAACTAGAACCCTAGCTAGTAGCAAGACTGACTTAATCTCATAAATCAGCTTGGATGAGGTACCACGCCTGGGCCCCAAGCATCCTGCCTCATAGTCCTCTTTTACATTCAACAGCTGGCGGGGGGTGGGGGGTGGGGAAGGGGTGTCAGAAACACCTGTCCAAACTCATGCACTCTTCCCCCAGTGGTCTACACTGCAGAACCTTTACTTCTCCGCCTCGTTCTTCATTTTTCCTCCCCCTTCCCTTCTGTTCTTCCTCTCCTCCCCGCTCACCAGGGAGGTGCCCAGCACACCAGCTCTCTGGAGAGACCTGGTACCCAGGATTGATCTGATCCGGGGTTTGATGACCACTGGTTGTTGACTACCCACAGGATGGGGAACACTGGGTTAAAGGAGGGACACAGCGGGTATAGCAAACAATGCCCCAGCACCCCAACTTTTCAAACAGCTGCTCTGATCTGGCAGTGCCAGAGAGACTGGATGCACGGGGTCAACTTGGGGAGGTGAGCAGGCTGGGGAAGATGGGCATATGCTGGTAAGCTTTGTGTTTCTCTTGGTTTAAGGACATCTCAGAGGATGAGCCCACCTTCCTCATTCCCCACATCCAATCTGATTTGGGATGAGAGGTGAGCACAGCAGAGGCCGATGAATCAGTGATGCTGAGAGTGGTGTTAATCCGCTGCAGGGACTCAGTCACAAGCTGGAAGGCGGCTTAACAACTTATCTCATCCCCACACTGGTTTTAAGCAGGTGGCAGTCACAGCCTGCCACCCAGGTGTCCTGCAGCCTTTTCCTTGTCCCCATCTCATGGTTTGATGACACTGTGGGGGTTATTGGGATGGTTCTCATCTGGCTAAGAAGGGAACTGCTCGGCCAGAGCAGACTTGGTTGTCATGACTGAGTCCACGCTTCCTGGCATGTATGTTCTCATTCCAGAAGTGCCAGCATAGCCGAGCACCGAGCATGTGTGCTTGTGTGTGAGGTGTGTTCCCAGGTACCTCCCGGAGAGGATGCTCTCACCAAAGTGTGTGCACGTGCACACACATCTATGAGCAGGTACATGTGTGTGCACACAGCCCATTCTGGTTCATGCAGAGGTAATGGATGTTCTCATCAATGTGTGTGTGGGTCTGCGTATATGCCCCCACACATGTGAACACACACTGCCCTGATTCATGCAGAGGGGTAATGGATGCACTTATCTATGTGTATATATGTGTATATACACTCACACACAGACACACACACATACCCTGGTGCATGCAGAGAGGTAAGCACACGTGCACATGCATGCACACACAGACACACACATCCCGGTGCATGCAGAGAGGGTAAGGGATGCTAACCTATCAGATCTGAGTAAGCATCAGCACCTTGTTTCTGATAGAGGACAGAAGAAAACAAACAGCATGAAAGGTCCCACACAGATGTGCATGACACGTTAACTGCAGAAGCAGGCAGGGTTGGAGTGGGGTGGGCTGCTGAGGTCCAGCCTACCTGGACACAGCCTGTGGGCCACATGGGGGACATTTGAACAGGACAAATGCCATGTGTTTAGCTTCTCACAGGGTTTCTGAGCCAGCACCCAGCTGTCATCAGAGAGCATCAAGGCAGGGCCAGGGCTCTGAGAGGCCATTCCAAACAGATCTCTTGGGTTCCCTTTTAATGACCCAATGCTGGATGTCTTGTGAGTTTCCTGGGCTCTGAAATATGTTTTCATCCTCGATACCAAGGGGCTTCAAAATATTTGTGGAAAATTTCCATTATTTTTTATTTGAAAGGTTTTCATTTCCCACAAACCTTTGGAAGAAGCCCTCTTGTATGTGGGATGTTGGGGCGGTGGTAGGTGCACTTCTATTTGGGGCTTGCACTAATGACTGTGTGATCTCGGGCAGAGTTGCATCCTTCCCTGAGCTTCAACTTCCCCTTCAGTCATGAGGAAAATCTCCAGTCTGTCTGGTCCCTTGTGAGATTCTTTAGAAATAAGGACGACATTCTAAAGGAACCAACCTCCTGGCCCCCTCACCCCATGTTACTATATAAACCAGAAATGTAACCAGCTCCGCCTTGCCCCCAGAGGCTTGGAGAGGCCAGGCTGTTGGCTCCCCCGGCCCTCAGGATGAAGGTCACAGTTCCACATCAACCATCCAGGGCTGCCCCCTTACCCTGTCACACCTCCCTCTCCTGCTACATCTCTTGTTCAGCTCCTTCAAGTTTTCATTGCACATCACTTCCTCAGAAGCCGTCCCTGGCTGCCCATGACTGGTTAGTGCCCTAGATTCACACTAGCCACAGCCCCTCCACCTGCACTAAAACTACCTGGCCCCTGTGCTTCCTCCCCTCAAATGATAGTGCTGTGGGGGTAAGGAACTGCCCCCTGGGTCACTTCAGCACTGGGCACAGCCTGGCACATGTAGGCATTCCTGGCAAGCAGACAGACCCCATGTCCCTCAGCCTTCTCGTTACGTTCCAGGGATTCTGGGAACAGTAGGAAAAGGTATGCGTGTATGTTGGTGGTGGTGGTGGTGGTGGTGGGTGGAGTGTCACTGCATCCTTTGTAGTTACAAGTCTTCCAGCCAAAACAGTCTAGAAATTAGCTTCCAAAGTTTTCTCAAAGCAGAGTTACCTCCAGCGTCCATCCACAAGAGGTGAAACTGCAACAAAGAGGCCCAGAGTCCGGTATTGGTTGGCTTGGCCATAGTGTTCGTGTGATCCCTAACAAGTGACTTGGGATGGCTGGGCTTGGTGTCCTCACATGTGTGGGAATGAGGTGGGCTTCGTGGGTACCATTTGGGTCACCTGGGGTGGGGGTAGAGCAGACTCTCAAAAGTCCCCATGCACAGCCAGCATCTTAGGAGGTGGGGCAGGAGGAAGTGCAGCAGGGCAGACCTCAGTAGTTCTAGGGGAACTCTGAAGTCCTTCCAGGTCCACTAATCTATGATTTGGGGGTACACCTCTGGACCCCAATTGTTCTCCCTAGGTCAGAAACTCCCTCCAGTGTAGTGAGTTCCACAAGGTCGCACTGAGGAGGCCTCAGGTTCTTGCTGAAATGAGCAAGTGCACTCCCAGAATGCATCATCTCAAAGGGCACATTTCAGCAAGGGTAGGCAGTCCTCTCAGCTTCCCTGCCAGCCCCCAACCTCTGCTCCAACATGCAGCAACTTCAGGGACTACTGGTTGGACAACTACAATCGTTGGAATAATCCCACTTGTTTCTAGTCTGTCCTTGAGCTGCTCAAGAAAGTCCGATTCTTCTCCCATGTGACTGCCCTTGGCTGTTTAAAGACAGTGATGGTGCTCTCTCCTCCCAGCTAACCACTCTGCACCCTCTGACTGCCCCCACATTTAATTTCCAGGCCCCACTCAGCCCTTGCTCTCCCTCTGGGCCAGTGGTCCTCAGCCTTAATTTCACATTAGAAAACAAAAAAAATCAAACCAGTTACTGACTCATGAGGACCATGTGTTTCAGGCTAGAACCAGGCTCCATAGGGTTTCCAATGGCTGCGATCTTTCAGAAGTAGATTAGTAGGCCGTTTTTCCAAGTTGCTTCTGGGTAGTAGGCTTGAACCATCAACCTTTTGGAACCACCGGTGCCTGATGCCAGTCCCAGATCATTTTATTGAATTGTTCTGGGGTACAACCAGATCTGTGGGTGGTTTTAGCACCCACCTAGTGATCCCAATATGCAGCTGAGGTTGAGGACCACTGCCTTACAGACCCTCCAGAGATCTGCTCTTTCCTGGAGGGTAGACCAGACTAGAGCCTCCAAGTGGCACTGTATTGTAGGCTTGATTTTTGTTCATTTTGAACTTAAATGTAAGAACTTAACTCTGTTAAGTATTAAATGTTGGTTTCAGCACATCTTTCCCACTGATCAAGTGATTTTTCAACCCTGGCTTTATCATTCAACGAACCAGCTATCCCTGCAGATTTGGTCAGACATTAGAGTGGATTAACATGCTTTCTGGGTCTTCATCGAAATCTCTGAGGAGACCCTGATGAGACAGCTCCAGTACTGAAGCCCTTTTGCCTGGCTGTCATTAATCCACTCATCTGTCTTCTTGCAGTTGTGTTATCCGACCTGCCACAATGTCTCTTAAGCATATTAGTGTCTGGTCCATGTTCCTGTGGCAACAAGTGACATGTTGTCAAATACCTGACTGAAAGAGGGCTTCATTATGTTCACGGCATTTTCGGCTTGGCTTTCAGAATGTTCACAAATCAACTGCTGTAACATCCCAGAACATTGTAGTACATCAAACTCAGGAAAATTGGCCACTGAGGTATGATCCTTACCAAAAAATCACAGAATGTTGGCGCTAGAAGATTCCTTAGAGATGATCTAGACAGGCAGTTTTCAAACTGTATTTAAAACCCAATGCTCAGGGCTATGGAGAGGAGTGAGAGGTAGGCCCTCAACTATGTGTGGCTCCAGACCCCAACTCCTGCTTCAATTGGGACTTGCTATGTTTCATGTGCTGGGCTGCTGTTTAACAAAAGCTTGAAAATGACAACTCCAGTCCAATCTCTCCATTTTACAGATAAAGAGACTGAGGCTTAGAGAGCAAACATGATTTCCCAAGGTCATGACTTGGAAGGGTGGAAGGGGTATCAAATTCCTGGGCCTTCTGATTTCCTCTAGTTGCTGGTGTGGTGTAGTAGGATGAGCAGTGAACTGCTAACCACAAGGTCAGTGGTTCAAACCCATGACTTGTTTCTTGGAAACCCTATCCTGGGTCATTATGAATGGAAACCGATTTCATGGCATTTAACAACAATGGGAACATTGTGGTACCATCTTGGGTTTATATTTCCTGAACTTTAGGAGGTCTTTTGTGTCTGGGTGTGTGTGGGGAACGTGCCAGCCATGCTCTGGTCGGAAGGATGACTGAGAGTGGGTCCCACCTCTTCCTCAGAGCTGTTGACCTGGAGGACTTGGGAAGCTCAGTTGCTAGCATTGGCCAGCAGAGGGAGCACTAACCCGAGGCTTGGCCACTGCAGGGCCGGCGTCAGCGGAATAATGGGAATCATTGGGCAAGGGGTTGAGAACCACGGCCTTGGCCAGGTGAAGGAAGCTCTCTCTCAGGAACACTTGGTGAAAATTCACAGCAAGCCTTGGAAGAACCAAGACGTCTCAAGATGGAAGGTTGTGAGTGGGGAGGAGGCATGTGTGGGCGTGAGGGTACACTGCCCAATGACAGGGCTATTTTTTGTGTGTGCAGCTTCTACAAGCTCAGTGGAGTGAGAGAGAGAAAAAGTGACAAAAGTGACGCAGGCCTGGCCCTATCCATGCAGAGCAGGCTCCCTCAACGCTGATTGTTGAGGGCAGTTCCTTCCCAGCCTCAGCCTGTCCTGGGGAGGTAAAAATAACAACAACAACAACAACAACAACAAAACCCATGCCACCTGGGGCTTGTTGACCCTACAAGTACATGCAGGTGAAAGGTAGCAGGCCGGTTTAGCCAGGGAATAAGGAGGATTTTAAAAAAATATAATATGCCCAAGGAATCTGTACCTGGACCAAGAAGAAGCAGTTGTTGGAAGAGAACATGGGAACACTGAATGTTTTAAAATTAAGAAAGGTGTGCGACAAGTTTCTATTCTTTCACCATACTGTATGCTGAGCAAATCATCATCTGAGAAGCTGGGTTATATGAAGAAAAACGTGGCATCAGGATTGGAGGAAGACTCAGTAACAACCTGTTATATGCAGATGATACAACTTTGTTTGCTGAAAGTGAAGAGGACTTAAAACATTTTCTGATGAAGATCAAAGAGCACAGCCTTTGGTATGGATTACATCTCA